AAATTATATTAAGTTCTTACTCACTGTTAAAACATACCTTGTAACAGAAGTATTCTTCATCCTCTCCTATTAGCCTTAGTTTTCAGATAATTTGTTCACTGGATATCTGAAATTAAAATAGATCAAGTTAGTACAGTACCGTACATTAATAACTGTTTTTGTTTTTAGCATGAGCTAAGAAAAGTTCCAAAAACCACTTGCATGTCCATTTCCTTGCACCTGACATTCAGTTAAAATTCTAATAGACACATGACAAAGAAAAAAAATGATGGAAAATTGTATCATTTTAAAATGGTCACACTCTGGTCTAATTCTAAGTGGCAGTCCTATCACAACCACAATTTAAAAGTTCTTGAAAAGCAATTATGTCTGAGAGTGAGAAAAATTAAATAAGTTACAATTTTTCATAAAAGCAAGACTACATCTAAATTATGTTAGTTTAAGATATGTGGGCCTTCTTTGATTCAAAATTATAATCCATTTAATACTTTATTTTATTTATTCCATTTTGCATCAAGGGCAGATAACTATTTATATAATAAGACAGAACTATTACTCTTTAGTGGCCATTGTTGGCCACTAAAGATAGAAATATGGCAAATAGTAAACAGCTATAAACAGAGAGATTACAAAAATCTTATTTGTGTATCAGTCATTTTATCAAGTCAATAAAATTTAGAAGTCATATGACGTAAAAGTATTATGTCAAATTTTCATAATGGGTCACACAGTGTGGCACAATGGTTAGAGCGACACGCCTCAAGTCGGGAAGTGGGTGCTGATTCTTACATCACGGGTCTGAATCCTATGTAGTACATAGAGACCGCTCCCTCGCATTAGAGCAAAGACTGTGTTGGTGATGTATCCACATGAATAAAAAGTTCTCTAAACGGATATCATGATTTCTACGAGCAACAAGCAAATACTAGTATATAACTATGTAATATCAATGCATGCAACATAAGAAATTGATAATGGCCAATTGCTCATTTCATCAAGCTCCAGTCTATCATAATGCAGAATTTATATACAGGTAAACAATAGCTGTTCTGTTGATATCAAGAGAATCATGTTTATGGTTAATATGATTTAAAAGTGATTTCTGATATTTAGAAACTGCACGGTGCAGCACCACATTTAATATTTGACGCCCAAGGTACAAAAATAACATAAGTATTTCTAATGAAGAATTAAACCATGCACACTATATCAAGTTTTAGGTTGCTTAAATAGTCTTATTTCATATAGATCAAAACATGCATATGTGTCAACATGAAATTAAAATTTAATTCAAAATAAATATCATTTTAAGTTTAATTCATCATAATTATGCCTTGTAAGAAAATATGCTTATGTATCTTTGTATATAAATAGTTTATTCAGTTTCGACATTTGCTTTAAAATCCTTATGTATGGTATGAAAATAAAATACTTCAACTTGAATAATGTGCGGCATTATGAAAATTATCAAGTCACTTTCATAGCCCAAAAATCTGCAAGTTCTCAGGAATTTTACTTGACTACAACATGTACAAATTGGCATTTCACAGTGATACAATACTACACAAAGGCATTCTCCCATCATGATGCCCTCTTACATGTCTAATATTTACGATTCTAGATTGCATGTATGTTAAAAATATATTGAACCCCTTCCTCAGCTGTGCAGCACAGTCTTCCATCAATAATAAAAACAATTCAGCAAAAAATAAATGTACGATTCAAGAAACTACTTCTGAGAATAACATTGAACACATCCGGCAGCTATAATGAACAACAAAGCTCACCTTTTCTGAAAAAAAAACATAAGCGTCAAACATCACATCACACACATATATAATTCATACTGATAGTGTCGCCTGCATTGGTATTATTTTTTATTTCAGACTGACAGATGGACAAGTGCCATAATAAGTGATCCCTCTGTATTATTTAATAAATACATACCTTAAAAGCTCAACTGAATAAATCTTTTTTTTTGTCTTTTTTCTTTTCTTTTTTTTTTTTTCAATGTCTTTAGGAAAAATCCTCAATGAAGTAAAACCAAAGATGAATCTGAAAATAAAATTCATAATATATATTTAATTATTTATCATTTTTAAAAAAAAATGTCATTAATAATTTCAATGAATTGTTATAAATTCTTACATTTTATATGTGGCAAACTTTATAAGTGTTCATCTAAATATTGTAAAGAAATTACCCTTGAGTTTTCCAACAAGGGGTATATACAGGAATAAACAAACAAGCGAAAGAATATTTACACACAGTCTCTGGCTGGTAATCACTGAAATCTGGAAGAAAAAAATGTTTAGTATAAATTGTTGCAAATAATTGTATGGAAGCAATGACATTTTATGAAATTCTATTTACCTTGATTATCCAGGAAAGTTTATTTACACCTCATAAAGCATCCGAATATAACTGGTGAAATTTGTCTGAAAAAAGATATATAAATCACTTTTTTCCTATGATATATTGAAAAAGACTATGATGAAAGGGAAGTAACTCAATTATTAGAATGGTTGAAACTATTGGGAGGCATAAAAGTAATTGAATAAATTAAACTCTAACTTGATTTTTCGTAAATATATATTTTAATATCTTAAATTTACATATATCAATTAATTATTGAAGGAAACTATGAGTGTGCCCTCGTGTTGCCATTATAATATCAATTTTCCGTGTCACATTACTGAGGCATTAATCTTTAAAAAATCAGCAAGAGAAAGCCATAGCTTCCAAAATTTCAGTAATCGTACATATTGTAGCAGTATGTCTACCGCTTACGAAAATGGGTGAAACTTGAGCGTACCCTATCATTATCCTCCAAAAAAAATATTTATTCATATTTTCATTACGCCCGTGTACATAATAAAATACCATTATTCGTGCTTTACGCGATTTTCCAAGAACAAAACACTGTATAAAAGATGATATATACTCAAAACTTACCAGCATTACTCAATTTTTGTTATGTCAAGGTCCTATCTTATTCTATATAATTAATAACAAAAAATACTTACTTACTCCGAGCCATATGAAGTCAACATGGCCGACTCCGAACAGTTCTGCAATAGATTAGAGTTATCGTTCTTGGCAAAGATGGCGTTATCTGGAAAGGCTAAAGGACACAGACTACCAATTATTTTGCTATACATTCCTTTATACTATAAAAAATGATTTAAAAAATTACACCAGCTCAACTTACCTGAAACTTGGCACAGAGTAAGAAGAATTCAAGTCCAAAAATTTTTCAGACTCTCAGGAAAATTCATCGCATGCAGTTCCTGCTAAGGCATCGCAAATAACCCCTACCCTGCTTTTTTCACTTTCTCTTCGGGGAAAGGGTAAATATGGGCCTCTTTACACCCTTCCTACTACGCGCGCAAGTGCAAAATTTCACATATTAACAATTTTATATTTTTTTTCAAACCCTCTCCTTTCCATCTATACCCAAAAATAACATCAGTCCACCCCATAAACACCCCAAAGAATTTTTAAGAAAAAACCTCTATTTTTAAACTGGAACTACTTGAGTGGTCAATGAAATAGGGGTAAAATTAGTAGTCTGTAACCTAATAAGGACACAAACCTTGTCTGATTTTGCTGAAATTTGACATGCTGGAGTCTTTTGTATCTACAAAGTGGCCGGTGAAGTTTCATTTAAATTGATGATTCCTAAGCAGAGTTATGGCCCTTTAATTGATGTGCTGGAACACCTTAAATCAGAGGGTAAAATAAGCATTAGGCACACAGTTCTCAGATTTGAAATGCTCACAGCTCACATGCATGACAGTTATTTTCTTTCCTTTTATTTTTGTATACTAGATATATATGTCCTACACAAATTTCAAGAACAAAACTTAACCTATTGCATAAGTAAATATTTTAAACAATTTTTCAAAAAAATACTTTCAAAAAGCATAAAATTCTTGGAAATATTAAAAATAAAAATATTTAGCACATTTTAATTTTAGTAAAACAAATATTAAAAAATTCTACAATATATAGGCTATAAAAAATTAGTATAAAAGTTAAGGGAAAGAGATTAATACCTTTGTTATAAGCAGATTATCCAACCTGGTCAATTCAGCCTCTGTCAGGAAGTGGTACTTACTACTCTAATTGGATTATCCCTGGTCATATTAAGACTTCATTGAAGGGTATTTCTTGTAACAATATGCATTATTAGATAATAAATACCAAAAATTCTGTGAAATTTTGGATTTTATAATTCTGAATTTACAAGAAAAGGAATTTATATATGCATTTTACCTACATACATTCTTCAGGCTGCTGTAGAAAAAGGGGAGGCAAATCTGCACTGTAAAGGTACCAAAAAAAAAACAAAATGATTAAAAAGCATGTCTATATACTTTCAATGGTTCAGCATAGAAAATATACCATGCCTGTGTCACCTATAATCACTCCTGGAGATGCTTGGAAGCTAAAACAGGGAAGGGGGGGGGGGGGTAGAGAAGGTTCTATTAAAATGGAGTACATAAATTCTGTCTGTCTTGTGTATCACTATTTCTGCACGGTGTTTATCCAAAATCTTGAAAACACATGTCCTTGTCAAAAAATGATGATTTTGTCTGATATGCGACCACCGACAATGATGTCCAAGATGCCACAAGAGTAGAAGAAGTCAGTAGGACCAAACATCCCATATGAAATGTTGAGCACCTTACTGACCTCCCCTGTCTTGGACAATCACAGATCAGTGCCAGCAATCAGACAGCAGATATTAAATTCCAAAAGAAGAAGGAAAAAGAGAAAGTTTCAGAGAGTACACATTGATTGGCAAGAGATGATGATGACAGATGAAAACAGTGTAAAAAAGAAATCAAACACAAAAAAATAATACAAACTTAAGAGTCAGTTGACTATATACCTTTAACTTGGCTGTTGTGGACTGTAATATTGTTGACAGCTGTATCTTGTTTTCTGAATGATCATTGTCTCTGCTACTGGTACAAAATTGTTCACTTCTGACTGGCAACTGGCCTGATTTTTTATGAAGCCACCCATCCAGGCTATAACTGCTTGCAATCCCACATCAGTCAGCCAGAAATGAGCCACTGAAAAAAAATAAATTTTTAAGAATTTCAACTTTAGTTCACATTCATAATTAATAAGTAATTGTGTCAAATTAATAAGTAAGTGTGTCAACTATAATTACAGACACCAAGTAGCCAAAGTTTTGAGAAATTAGGCATTACTTTCCTATTAACAACAGTGTAATCTGAACAATCAAATGTTTAAAACATACCTTGGTTTTTGAACTCCATTTGGCATTTAAAATAGCAGGATATGTGAGTAATGGGTTTTATGTCACCTACAACATTATATATAGAATCAAAATTCATATTGCATAAATGTTTGACACACATCAATTGCACACATTACGTCATCACTTTGACAAGCTGAGCAGGTGCCCCCCTCCCCCTTTTCAATTATTTAAATCCATTTAACTTTTCCAAAAGACAATTTTTTCCATAAAATTTGTCAACAATTTGCATAATTAGTTCCAAATTATCCAAAAAGTGCCAGTAAATTGATTAACGTGAGATTTGACCTTTGACCTCATAGGACACAGACTACCAATTATTTTGCTATACATTCCTTTATACTATAAAAAATGATTTAAAAAATTACACCAGCTCAACTTACCTGAAACTTGGCACAGAGTAAGAAGAATTCAAGTCCAAAAATTTTTCAGACTCTCAGGAAAATTCATCGCATGCAGTTCCTGCTAAGGCATCGCAAATAACCCCTACCCTGCTTTTTTCACTTTCTCTTCGGGGAAAGGGTAAATATGGGCCTCTTTACACCCTTCCTACTACGCGCGCAAGTGCAAAATTTCACATATTAACAATTTTATATTTTTTTTCAAACCCTCTCCTTTCCATCTATACCCAAAAATAACATCAGTCCACCCCATAAACACCCCAAAGAATTTTTAAGAAAAAACCTCTATTTTTAAACTGGAACTACTTGAGTGGTCAATGAAATAGGGGTAAAATTAGTAGTCTGTAACCTAAAGCGTGGGGTCAAATCTTTCGATTTTCCAAATAAAAAAGTTAACACCGGATACAAGTACATAACGATATTATCCCCTAAAACCAACCTACATTTAAAATTCCGGAATACTACAACACGTTATAATTTTTAAATTATGCGATTGGGACGATGCAGAAAATACAATACGAAAAATATGAAAGATAAAAACAATGGTGCAAAAATCATGCATGCGTTTAAACAGCAGTTAATTATATGCATAACAACCTAAGCTGAGGATGATTTACAAGGCGCTTTTTCACAATAATTACAACTGTGCAATGGTCATTTTGAATGTTTGGAACGCGCCATTTTAAGTCAACATTATTCTTACGATTTCAGACAATAAAAACAAAAATAAAGGTGCTCTGAACTGTAAGAAATAACTACCTGTATCTAATCTGCCGTTTGGGGTGCCTTTCTTCTGTGTAGATTCAAAAAATCTTCTCATCTCTGTTGTTTTTCTTGAGCAAATTCTTGGTGTTTTCTTCGCCATTTTGTCCTTCTTTCTTCTCTGAAAATCTAACCAATGAGAGAGAAGCATTCTGCCGCGATACGCCACCTAGTGATTCAAATTCTTTACGGAAAATTCAGTTTAGTTTTTGCATTTCTCTTGGCAATTTTTCTTTTTTTACGTTTTAAATGCAAATGTCCTTGTATATATATGGCAACAGAATGAACAGTTTTGAATGATAAAATAAAATTGATCATGGAATCGAAGGAGATAAAAAGCGAATTTTAGACCTTTATTACATGATTGTGGTAATTGTTGAAACGGACTCCGACTGTCCTAATGTTTTCAAATAGAATGATTTAAAGTCATATGTACACACGTACTTCGATTATTGTGTAAAAAAAAAAAAGAAAAGAAAAGAAAAAAGAAAATGGTATACAAGTCAACAAAGTTATGCTGATGGTATATTAACCACATATGTGCAATTCAAAAGCAAAATTGGGGTTATAAGAATTATTCATCAATTGTTGAAAGTTTTCTACTCAGAAAATATCAACATGAATGTACAAGTCTATTTGTTATCTAGGAATTTCCTCAGTGTCACAGCTTACAAATTGAAGTAGGGAGATTTACCAATATTTCTTCTGAAGATCGATTATGTAGATGTAAAATTCATTTTGTTTTTATAACATTGTCATGTAAAAAAAAAATGATCGTCAAACATGCCCCCCCCCCCAAAAAAAAAAATTCAGCTAATTAATAGTAAATCTCCATACTTCTCAGCTTTAGATGATGAACCAAAAAATATTGGTCACTCAATACAGAAGATACGGAAACTCTTAATTTTGCAGGCAAATTTATATAAATGATATCATGTAATAGAAGTGGTCATAGTCCTTTACACATGACATATGTAAATTCTTCTTTATTCCTTTATAATACAGGATTATTAATTGCTTTTAATAATTGTTTTGCTATTGATTGACTTATTTTTTCCTTATAATTGTAATAATCTCACACTTTTCTGTTTTGGACTCTAAATTAGAAATAAAACGTTGTTTTAATATAATGTACTTAGAAATAACCTATATAAAAAAGTTGTGAATTAAAATAGACTTAGTTTTCATTAGGTTGCGTTTCATTGACCTCTAAATATTTTCAATATTTGAAGTTTACAATGGTGGCAAACAAGGAATACCATTAATTGTCGATTTCTTTTTGTGATTGCCGATTTTTTTGTGTGGAGAAATTGTAAAATAATATTGAAATTTTTGAAATAGTCTTATACATATGACATGTTTGATTTTACGTGAAGTTTTATATAGTGTGATTTATTTTTTATTTTGAATGTTCAGAAACCTTGGTGTCATTACAAAAGGCTAGTTATGTATACCATGTACTGCGTGTATATATTACGCCTGGTCACAGTCCATTGTTCCTCTAAGGTAGAAAAACCTCTCAATCCACAGAGAATATACAAAAAATACACCAACACGGTAGCAGGTGTCTTCGCGACACGTGTCTCCCCACCTGTGGCACGTGAGGACAGGTGTCCGCGAGTGGGGTTCAACGTAAAGAATTGAAATTTTGATCAACTTACAGACTACTTTAAATTTATTTTTTAAAAAAACTAAGTTCTAAATCACATATTTAGCACATTATACATCTCAATACGAATATAACTGAACATATTGCTAAAAACTATACCGCGTTTTCAGTGATATTGCATTAATTAACATCACGAATGCAAGATATATGAAATAAAACAAAATAAAAAAAAAAAAAGCCTACACATAATATACAATCTAATTAAAATTTTGAGATTTTCCATTCGCTCCCAGGGTATTGTTTCACAAAAACAGACTTTTTACATGAGTTCCTCGTGTAAATAAACATTTGGAGAACAAATGGAAGATTTGATTTTAATTAGATTGACATAAAATGCTGCAAATCCTGGGAACCATGACATCAATTTTCAGGACATGTTTTCTTGTAATATTTTTAATGCTATAAAACCGCGGCTTACGAATAAAATGTTTTCACGAAGACGGAAATAAAAATACATATATGTAGATATTAAATCAATGTTATTATAAAAACTAGTACATGTAACTTATTGAACTAGATGTATATGAATAGTAAAAAAGGCTTCCAAGTCAATATGTATTGTTAACAAATTGAAATTATTGAAATGATATCCATTAAGGAATATATAGACAATAGACAATAGATATAGAGAGACATGTATAAAGAATATAAATGCAAACCTTTCTATCTCAGATTTAATGTTCACTCTCGTAATTATCTGTATTTCATGCACCATGAAGACACACTAATTTTCTTTTTAAACAACTTTATATTAAACATAATCGTAGTTTTGTGAAAATGATGTATGTTTTCAAAATAATTAATTCCCGAGGGGGAGTATTGAGTTGGGTAATGTAGAATATCCTTGTGAGAGGAATCGATTTTGTCTAAAAATAATATTTTTGAATTCCGACACAATATGAAATAAACAATTTTTATACATTTAATATGAAGCAAGGATCTTGTATAATATGCTTATCATTGATATCAATATCGGTATGTTTAAGTTTACAAAGAGCAGGCACATCTTAAAATCTGAATATGAACTATTAGATATTTAAAAAAAATCATTTTTTTTAAATGTGTAAATAAATATAAGGATGATATGAGTTGATTTTTCTACCCTTTTGAAAAAAAAAATATAGAGAAAAAGTTTCAGTTCGGTTTCAGCATGCGGAAACCATATGGAATCGAAATCAATAGTAAAAAGATCATAATTATGCATATGAGTTGATTTTTCTACCCTTTTGAAAAAAAAAATAGAAAAAGTTTCAGTACGGTTTCAGCATGCGGAAACCATATGGAATCGAAATTAATAGTTTCCGGAAACTGAAACCTACTGAAACTAAAACGTATCGTTAAATCGACGTTTCATTAAATTTTACATTGGTTTCCGTTTTGCGGACACTATTGGGAAACAAACCTAATGGTTTCAGTATACGGAAACCCTACTGAAACTTGCTGAAACTATTATATAGTTTCCGCATTGCGGAAACCATACAGGAAACTTCAACACCAAGTTTCAGCAAGGTTTCCGCATAGTTTCAGTTTTGCGGAAACTAGACTTTTCATCCAGTGATCAACAATTGATGAATAATTATCAGCTCAAATCTCAGAAAGAGGAATGATAAGTAAAGCAGGTACTAATCTGAAATCAATCCTAAAACAAACAAAGCATAGATTACCTAATTTGTAATCATGATAATTATTTCTTATCAATATTTTTTTTTACATCAAACCTTTACTCTTGTGAGCTTGGTGATATGTTGTGAGCTTGGTGATATGTTGAAGTTTATTTTTAGGTGTCCCTATAGAGGTCGCAGACAGGACCCTTAGGATATATCAGGGAGGTGTCCCAAGCCGTAAACTACCCCCTACCCCAGGGATCACAGTCAAGTCCTCACCCCCACCTAAACCAAAGAGAGAAGGGGAGATAATACTGGTAAGTTATACATCTCACCTAAACCAAAGAGAGAAGGGGAGATAATACTGGTAAGTTATACATCTCACCTAAACCAAAGAGAGAAGGGGAGATAATACTGGTAAGTTATACATCTCACCTAAACCAAAGAGAGAAGGGGAGATAATACTGGTAAGTTATACATCACACCTAAACCAAAGAGAGAAGGGGAGATAATACTGGTAAGTTATACATCTCACCTAAACCAAAGAGAGAAGGAGAGATAATACTGGTGAGTTATACATCTCACCTAAACCAAAGAGAGAAGGGGAGATAATACTGGTAAGTTATACATCTCACCTAAACCAAAGAGAGAAGGGGAGATAATACTGGTAAGTTATACATCTCACCTAAACCAAAGAGAGAAGGGGAGATAATACTGGTAAGTTATACATCTCACCTAAACCAAAGAGAGAAGGGGAGATAATACTGGTAAGTTATACATCACACCTAAACCAAAGAGAGAAGGGGAGATAATACTGGTAAGTTATACATCTCACCTAAACCAAAGAGAGAAGGGGAGATAATACTGGTAAGTTATACATCTCACCTAAACCCAAGAGAGATGGGGAGATAATACTGGTAAGTTATACATCTCACCTAAACCAAAGAGAGAAGGGGAGATAATACTGGTAAGTTATACATCTCACCTAAACCAAAGAGAGAAGGGGAGATAATACTGGTAAGTTATACATCTCACCTAAACCAAAGAGGGAAGGGGAGATAATACTGGTAAGTTATACATCTCACCTAAACCAAAGAGAGAAGGGGAGATAATACTGGTAAGTTATACATCTCACCTAAACCAAAGAGAGAAGGGGAGATAATACTGGTAAGTTATACATCTCACCTAAACCAAAGAGAGAAGGGGAGATAGTACTGGTAAGTTATACATCTCACCTAAACCAAAGAGAGAAGGGGAGATAATACTGGTAAGTTATACATCATCTCACCTAAACCAAAGAGAGAAGGGGAGATAATACTGGTAAGTTATACATCACACCTAAACCAAAGAGAGAAGGGGAGATAATACTGGTAAGTTATACATCTCACCTAAACCAAAGAGAGAAGGGGAGATAATACTGGTAAGTTATACAGTGAGCTTCAACCAAATGATCATCTAACATAAAATGTCTATATTTGAATTATCATTTAATATAGATGTTGACTACACCCTCATGTCCTGGATTCACAACATACAGAGTATTTGATAAGTTATTAAACCAACAGATTTGACAGACTATGTATAGTGATTTTTCAACATCTCGTTGACAAATAACCTTGACCTTTAAGGCCTGAGATTGAGACAAGGACAAAACCCTTCTTAAGGTTGACAGCATCAAACATAACACAGCCTTGGATTGGATAAAAATTCTCATTGCAGGGTTTACTTTTATGACATAAACCAGAGACATGCTTGCTAACTTCTTCAGTGTCACAGTTTTGGGAGATGTAATGTTTTTATTTGCCATAGGAAAACATGTTTGGTTGATTAGAAATTCAAACTGTTCAATCAGTGTTAAATGTGTTTTGGGGGAAATTATGAAATGAGGATACCTCATTAAACAATAACCTACTATAATATGGATTTTCTATTGTTTTTCTTAAGGAAGGGGAAAAAGAAAAGGAAAAGACACCAGTGCTGTTCATAGACCCTGAACTTCTGATCAACATCAAATCAACAGAGAAGGTGAGCATATTAGAATTATAGACCCTGAACTTCTGATCAACATCAATTCAACAGAGAAAGTGAGAGTATTATAATTAATAGACCCTGGACTTTGATCAACATCAAATCATCAGATGTTTACCTTTTTATAATTTTAAATTAGGCAGATATTGATGAGATTTACTACTGTAAGCCAGTATAGAATATTATCATTGATTTTGTAGATGTTAATCCTATCCCCGAGTTTTGTGATGATGTTTCTAACTGTTTGATTTTCTAGCTGGCAGACCTGGCCGCGAGTTTTGTTATGATGTTTCTAACTTGTTTAATTTTCTAGCTGGCAGACCTGGCCGCGAGTTTTGTGATGATGTTTCTAACTGTTTGATTTTCTAGCTGGCAGACCTGGCCGCGAGTTTTGTGATGATGTTTCTAACTGTTTAATTTTCTAGCTGGCAGACTTGGCCGCGAGCTTTCTGACCAAACAGATCAACCAGTATACAGACACCAAACTGTCGTCTGCAATCACCGACCAAATCTTCTCCTTCCTACAGGTTTGTCTTATGTCCTCTATGTACTGTAGACAAACTGTCGTCAGCAATCACAGACCAAATCTTCTCCTTCCTACAGGTTTGTCTTATGGATTATACTAAGAAGATACAAGTCTTTTTTACATATTTTGGATTTTACAAAAAAATATTGTCTTGGTTACAGAAAAAAAAGAAATATCTTTGAAAAATATTTCAAAAAGCTACTCCTCCTACAGGTCTGGTCTTTTTATAAGACCTGACACAGTAGTAAGCTATAGTGAGATACATAGTTCTCTGCATTCAGTTTGGTGTTTGATTTTGATAAATGTTGTCATGGTTACTAAAAAGGAGAAATTTTTATGAAATTCTTTCAAAACCCGACTCTTCCGACATATTGGTTAAATTGCAATATAACTTGGTTCACAAATAGAGTATACCAAGATACAAAATGCTTCACTACAGATTTTGGTTTTAACAAGTAGTGTTGACTTGGTTACTAAAAATAGAATTTTCTTTGAAATTCTCTAAAACGTTTTCTTTTTAAAAAGTTTTCAGTAAGAATTTGTTGCACATTAGTAAACTATAGTGAGATGTATCATTCTGTTCATTTGTTTTTAATTTCAACAAATGTTGCATTGCATGGTTACTAAAAATAGAAATTTTGTTGAAATCCTTTCAAAATACCGTTATTACTCCTGCTTTAAGACTTCATACACAAGTAGATATACTAAGTTACATATATAATTTATTGGTTTTTGATTTTGACAAATGTTGTAATGCTTACTTAACATGCTAAGATGAAATTTCTTTGAAATAAATCTGGCAAAACCGTACTCCTACAGTTTTAGTCCAATTTTAAAGAGACTTAGTACACAAGTATTCTTTACTCTAAGGTACATTTTTATTATAAGTACACACCAGTAGACCTTAGTCTTGTTAGAGTATGTATGTAAAATTAAAATCAGTCAGACTACCTGGTGACTGTTATCACTGTTTGAAATGTTGGACTCTTTTGACACAGGAGGTAGCGGGTTACCAGCGCGCTGTGATAGTGGCGTACATCACCGAGATATCTCAGAGTCTCGAGGAGATGCCCGAGTCTGAGCGAGATCGACCGCTTCACAAACCCTCCGTCAGACTGCTAGTGGAACTACTCAGACAAATCATGGTAAGATATACTGCTACACAAACCATCCGTCAGACTGCTAGTGGAACTACTCAGGCAAATCATGGTAACACTTTTATACTCAGTCATATAATGGTCATCATCATGAAATCAACATGTGTTTATCATCATAAGTTTGTATTAATGAATAATGAATAAGTTTGTTTTAATTATTTCTTTGATGCAGGACCCCCTGTCTCATGTTGTGTTGAGCCTACAACTGTTGCGGACCTTCAGCCATTTTTCTGATAACCTGGTTGTCATGGTGAACTGTCAGGCCGCGCCAGCAGTGTTGGGTTGTATGGCCGTTTATCTGGACGTCACGGAGATCCAACAGTACGGGCTGGACATACTGGCCAGAATAGCCAGCTACCGACCAAAACTGGCCGAAAAAGTAAAACCAACGAATCTCTTAAAATAGCGACCTACTGATCCAGACTGGCCGAAAAAGTTACTCAACAAAAATCTCTAAAAAACAAGGTCACCCACCGCCCCAGAGTGGCCAAAGAAGTAAAATTCTCTTAAAATAGCTATCTACCAATCCAAACATGCCAAAAAAGTAACAATTCTAAAAAAAAAGCTACCTACCACCTCAAACCAGCGGAAAAAGTAGCACAGCAAATCTCTAAAAATAGTTACCTACCCACCCACCCACCCCACAAACCAGCCGAGAAAGTAGCTGAGCAAATCTCTAAAATTAGCTACCTACCGCCCCAAACCAGCCGAAATGTAGCTCAGCAAATCTTTAAAAATAGCTAACCACGGACCCAAACATGCCGAAAAAGTAACTCAACAATTTTCTTAAAAAGTAACTCAACAGTTCTCTTAGAATGGCCTATTACTGACCTAAACATGCCGAAAAAGTAACCCAACAATTCTCATAAAATAACTAACTACTGATCCAAATATGCCGAAAAAGTAACTCAGCAAATCTCTTAAAATAGCTGCCTACCGCCCCAAACATGCCGAAAAAGTAACCCAACAATTCTCTTAAAATAACTAACTACTGATCCAAACATGCTGAAAAAGTAACTCAACAAATCTCTTAAAATAGCTACCTACCACCCCAAACATGCCGAAAAAGTACCGTATATACTCGCCTATGAGTCGTTATTTTGGGAGTTAATCTCCGGTCTAAAACTCATTGTCCGACTTATGGGCGAGCTATCAAAAGTATGGTTTTTTATGAGACGTAGCACTGTTAAGGCCTACTATGAGAAATCAACGGAAAATATATGTGCAAAAAGGGGGTTATTATTTTAAATTAAATTTATTTCAATTAAGCTGTTTTATTATCACAGAACGTTAATACCTGGCATAGTATTACCCACTCTAAACTGTGTGAAGTTTAATCCCATCGATGGACAGTCACGTGATGAATGCATAGTACGTGTACTGAATGTAGGTCATTAACAAATTTCAATATCGCAAGGGCATACCCTATTTTAAATTTAAAATTCAAGCTATTAATTGTTTCTGCACACTTTGTAGATTCTGAAAAGTACTGCTGCTTTGAATAGAATTCGCGTTTTAATAGATAAATTTTCAAGTAAATAGGCCAATGTCAAAACATATTAGACATTTACCAAATATTTTGTGTACTTATGAAATCACGCCTTCGATTTAAAGAAAGCAGCAGCACTTTTCCAGTTAAGGATAATATCCTTTATCTATATTCAAAAAATGATTAAGATCTATGCAGTGTATGCCCTTGCGAAAGTACGATTTTATGGTGCATCTCGATGTAAAATATACGTAACCTGTACATAAAAACACGACATAATTAATAAAATATATTCTCTTGAAAGTTAATGAATAATAGCACTAAACAAAGGATCTACATTGGTATTAATCGACTATTTAAAACCTGTAAATAATATTCCGTTTTATTATAAAACGCATTTTTCATTGTTAAAAAATTCCTCAATCTGCCTCTCACAGTACATGAAATACGTCATGTTTACCAAAATGACGTCATATATACAAGTTCATCGCAATCAGTGCTTTGTTAAAAACTAGCTACCCGGGATTTACCTAGCAACGTTTTTTAATGCATTGAAAGGTTTTATTGTTGTTTATTATGCTAATACAGTTAAATATTGCAAATAATTTCATTTTCAGGTATTATGAGAAATACATAAAAGTCATATTTTTGTGTGACGTCACAGTAAACATTTCCCGTATAAATTAGGCCCCGCCCCCTAATTCAAGCCTTAACAATGCTGCGGATCAGTCCATCTGATATGAAAGCTTATTAAATACAACCGACTTATAGGCGGACCGACTTATGGGCGAGTATATACGGTAACTCAACAAATCTCTAAAAATAGCTAACTACTGACCCAAACATGCCGAAAAAGTAACTCAACAAATCTCTTAAAATAGCTAACTACTGACCCAAACATGCCAAAAAAGTTACTATTCAATTTTCTTAAAATAGCTAACTACTGACCCAAACATGCTGAAAAAGTAACTCAACAAATCTCTTAAAATAGCCACGTATTTGGTTATCTTGATTACCCATGCTTCAAAAAGACCACTTTGGATTGATATTTTTTTTTCATAAGTATGAATTTATTCACTTGTTAAATGAGATAAGTGCAAGTCAAGCAAAATAAGAAGGTTCTACTGCTTTCTAATTATAAATAAGATGTATCGTAGGTTATAGAATAACATTTGACTTTTCAACCACAATTGTATGAATTAAATTATCACATGACCTCTAGTTGACCCGCAAATTCTCATTTTAATTTGGTTTAGGTTCTGTAACTTATCATTTGTCATTACTTACCATTTGATCTCTACATGACCTTGTTGTAACTTGCGTAAATAATGAATTCTTTGACCTCTATTTGACCTTGTTGCAGACTTATATGTGGACCCTTTGACCTCTATTTGACCTTGTTGTAGACTTAATTATTTACCCTCTCTAACTGACCTTGTCTTTCTGACCTTGTCGGAGACATACTGTATACAGGGAAATTTTTGCCCGTTTTATTTTCGCCCCTTTGGCCCTACCCTCATTTGGGTGAATTCAACATGGGGTGAATTCAAAGAATGCAGCATAATTTCTTAAATAAAACTATGAGTGGGCGAATTTAAAATGGGGCAAAATTGTTAGCATGTGTGAAAGGGCGAAATTTACACGGGGCAAAAATAACCCTGTATACAGTATATTTACCCTTTGACCTCTATTTGACCTTGTAGATTCCCCTGAGAGAGACGACCCTAGAGATGATCCTTCGATCTATTTAATATATATGATTTGACCTTGTAGATTCCCCTGAGAGAGACAGCCCTAGAGATGATCCTTCGATCTATTTATGTATGATTTGACCCTTATTTGACTTTGTAGATTCCCCTGAGAGAGACGGCTCTAGAGATGATCCTTCGATCAATTTATGTATGATTTGACCTCTACTTGACCTTGTAGATTCCCCTGAGAGAGATGGCCCTAGAGATGATCCTTCGATCTATTTATGTATGATTTGACCTCTACTTGACCTTGTAGATTCCCCTGAGAGAGACGGCCCTAGAGATGATCCTTCGATCTATTTATGTATGATTTGACCTTTATTTGACCTTGTAGATTCCCCTGAGAGAGACGACCCTAGAGATGATCCTTCGATCTATTTATGTATGATTTGCCCTTTATTTGACCTTGTAGATTCCCCTGAGAGAGACGGCCCTAGAGATGATCCTTCGTTTTATTTATGTATGATTTGACCTTTATTTGACCTTGTAGATTCCCTTGAGAGAGACGGCTTTAGAGATGATCCTTTGATCTATTTATGTATGATTTGACCTTTATTTGACCTTGTAGATTCCCCTGAGAGAGACGGCCCTAGAGATGATCCTTCGATCTATTTAGCGTCA